AAATGGATATGATTTTCCTTGGCCAAGAAGAAAGAGGAAGACATTAGATGGGAGGAAAAGGCATGGTGTAAGGGTTAGGAAGATTTCCTTGAACATATACTTTTGTTATTTTGTTTTTATTTTTCTTTTGAAACAGTCTCCCTCTGTCCATCCAGGATGGAGTGCAGTGGAGCAATCACAGCTCACTGCAACCTCCACCTCCTGGGCTCAAGCAATCCTCACACTTCATGGGTACCTGGGACTACAGGTGTGCGCCACCATGCCCAGTTAATTTTCTTGTAGTTTTTGTAAAGGTGGGATTTTGCCATGTTGCCCAGGCTAGTCTCGAACTCCTGGGCGCAAGCGATCCGCCCACCTTGGCCTCCCAAAGTGCTGGGATTACAGGCATGAGCCACTGCACCCTGCTATGCTTTTGTTAAGCACTTAATCTGTCCACAGCTCTAAATGCTTGGCACTCCATGACAGTAAGCACAGAAGTCCTTATCTTTTATCTTCAAGGGGCGTACAGTCCAGTGATAAGGTTAAATACACAAGTAATTCAATATAATGAGACATGTTATAGTAATGATACCCAACATTTATAGAGGTTTTACTAAGTGCTGGGGATCATTGTAAAGAACATGAATAAGCATGATATCATATATTCAGGGCACCTGTGATAAGGCTTGGAGAAGAAAGAGCTCCATGCCTTTGCAAAGAAAGCAGGTGGTTCCGCTGGCTGGAACGGTAGGTGCAGTGGGGGATTGGAATATGGTAGAAGCAATAAACAGACTTGGATCACACTGAAGAATCTTGACTTTATCCTGAAAGCTGTGGGGAGCCATTAAAGGTTTTATATTGTGTTTAGTTGGCAAGGACTGAAGTTACACTGTGTAATGAGAGCTAGATATTCCACAACATCCTTGGTATTTTTCCCTCATTGGTTGGTCTAGAGAGTGTCTCTTTCAATTATAAAAGTAATATTTAGGTCAGGCGCGGTGGCTCACCCCTGTAATCCCAGCCCTTTGGGAGGCTGAGGTGGCTGGATCACCTGAGGTCGGGAGACCAGCCTGACCAACATGGAGAAACCCTGTCTCTACTAAAAATACAAAATTAGCCAGGCATGGTGGCGCATGCCTGTAATCTCAGCTACTTGGGAGGCTGCGGCAGGAGAATCACTTGCACCCAGGAGGCAGAGATTTCAGTGAGCCGAGATCACACCATTATACTCCAGCCTGGGCAACAGGAATGAAAATCCATCTAAAAAAAAAAAAAGTAATATTTAATATAAAAATGTAAATAATAGGCTGACGCCCTTTTCAGTCTCAGCCCATCTACACCCAGGTGAAAAAAAAAGTAAATAATAGAGAAGTATATACAAAGGAACACAGAAGTCCACAATCTCCCTCAGCATCAGTCTAATTTTTTTTCTTTTTTTTTGAGATAGAGTCTCATCATCTCCCAGGCTGGAGTGTAGTGGTGCGATCTCAACTCACGGCAACCTCTGCCTCCAGGGTTCAAGCAATTCTCTGCCTTAGCTTCCCTAATAGCTGGGATTACAGGTGCCCACCACCATGCCTGGCTAATTTTTGTATTTTTAGTAGAGATGGGGTTTCACCATCTTGGCCAGGCTGGTCCTGAACTCCTGACCTCATGATCCACCCTCCTCAGTCTCTCAAAGTGCTGGGATTTCAGGTGTGAGCCACCACACCCAGCCAGATATACATTTTTTAAAACAGAAGTGGAATCCTAAATATTGTTCATCAGCTGGATTTTTCTCATCTATTTATTAGATGAAATATTAGAATCTAATAATTAGAAAAAAATCTAATTAGATTTTTAGATTAGGCTGGGCGAGGTGGCTCATGCCTGTACTCCCAGCACTTTGGGAGGCTGAGGCAGACAGATCACCTGATATCAAGAGTTTGAGACCAGCCTGGCCAGCATGGTGAAACCCCGTCTCTACTAAAAGTACAAAAAATTAGCTGGGCATGGTGGCACGCACCTGTAATCCCAGCTACTCAGGAGGCTGAGACAGGAGAATTGCTTGAACCTGGGAGGCGGAGGTTACGGTGAGCCGAGATCGAACCACTGCGCTCCAACCTGGGCGACAGGGTAAGACCCTGCCTGGGGGGTGGGGATCTCTGCTTTCACTGCTTTGCTTTGTTTGTGTGTTTTGTCCAATTCTTTGTTCAAAACTCCAAGTACTTGGACAACTACCCTAAAAGGTAACAACTGGAGCGCAATAGCTTTTCACAGGGACAATTGATGCAGGGCAGGTGAGCTCCCAAATTTGCGATTAGCTCGATAAGACTCGTGGTTCTTTCCTGAGCATGGGGTAGAAGAAATAGCTTGAGGATGCAGTTTTACAGCTCCATGACTGCTCCTACAGAGCAAGGCCTCGCTCTAGGCAGCGTGTGGAGAGCAGCAACTCAGGGGAACTTCTGCAGTCACATTTATATTGACTGTTAATTAAATGCAAATTAAGGGGTGGGTTATTCAGAAATTTCCAGAAAAGGGGTGGTAACTTCCAGGTTGTTATCATGGAAAAAGGCAGTAGATTCTGGATGTCGCCATGGCAATGGTAAACTGTGGCGGGCATGCCTTACGGAGAATTTCTTTCTGTGCCTCTTCCCTGTTTCAGCCAGTCTTGAATCTGATCCAAAGTCGAGGTCCTGCTT